AACCGTCATCCTGACTTTTAGCACTGTCGACTGGTTTTATCAAAAATGTTTTGGGCCTTGATTCCAGGTTCTCAGAGTCAAATATTCCCAGGGGTCCCGTTAATGGTAGAAAGGCCCAGAGAGACTGTGGCCTCTTGTGCCCCCAGGACAGGGACATTTGCCAAAGGTTGCCAGGCAAAAATACAGGCCCACTGTTGGCAGATAGTCTGATCTTGAAGAGAAACTAGATATTTAGATTTTTATGTGAAATCTCATGATTATTGCATGTTGGCAACTCATGAAAATCTAACACTCTGTGGAAGCCAACTCAATCCAGGCCAAACAAAACATGCTGTGGGCCAAACTTGACTTACAGGCTACCAGTAGGGGTGACCTTCAGGGGTGTCTGTCCCTGTGGAGGAGACAGGTATGAACACAGACTCACAGCTCAGAGGAGGGGTGGGCAGGGCAGGCTTAGTAGTGGAGTGACATTTAAGCTGCACTTTGAAGGACACATGGGTAAGGAGAGCAAAGACCCTCCAGACAGAGGGAGGGAGGTTGGGAGAAGGCCAGGAGGTCTGGTCTGAGCACAGGGTGGTCAGGAACTGCAAGGTGATTTGGTGTGTGGGTGACAGTGAGAGAGGCAGGCAAAAGGGCTGGAGATGTGAGCAGAAGCCTGTCTGGAGGGAACTGGAATGCATTTAGACTTTGTCTTGGGGCAGGCAATGGAGGTTTGGAGGAGGTGAAGGGGAGGCACTGGGCTGACCTCTGCCAGTAAGTGCAAGGCTGGGGCACTGGGTGGCAGGGGCAGGGGGTCAGTTGGCCTTGGCCTATGGCAGTGGCTTAAGAAAAGGGATTCAGAGGGTTGAGCCCAGCTTTCTGGTCTCCTAAACAAAGCCCACCCACCAATCCCTGAAAAAGACTCTTCTTGACCAAACCTGAATCAGGCCCCTCTGAACCCTTTTCTCAACCAGGTCCTGACCTTTGGCACTATCCTTGGTCAGTTTAGTCTAGTTTTAGCAAGAGTCCTACTGGGTTAGTGGGACGAAATTCCCTCACTCTTGAAACCAATCTGCCACTTTTTGTATCTTAGTTTCCTAATAATTCCTTTTAGTAAGTTTCTATCTCCTGATACCCCTCCCTACCCACCTGCTCCTTGGCTATAAATCCCCTCTTTTCCTTGTTTTATTTAGAGTTGAGCCTTATTAAAAACTCCCATTGCAGTGGTCTCTTGAATAAATTCGGCCTTTAACAAGTGTCATGAATAATTTTTCTTTAACACCTGTCCACACCCAAGATAATTCCAACTGCTACACCTTTTTGAAGATATTATCCAAGGGCTAATGTGTTTGCATTCGTTTCATGGAGGGTGTAGACACATGAAGTGGCTCCCTGCAGGGCCATAATCCCTGCCTCCTGTCCTCATCTTCAGGCAAGGCCCAGCCCCACTGCAGTCACGTTCTTCCCTGGGCTCCAGATCTGCTCCCAAGGCCTTCCCTCTTGGCAAACAGCAGCACCAACCTTGCAGGGCTCCTGCCCAACACCTCAAAGTCATCGTTCACACCTTGTGTTAGATCCTTTAACAAATCCTGCTGGGTCTTCCTTTAAAAGCCATCCAAAACCTCCACTGCTATTGTTACAGCCCTGGTCTGAGTGCTGGCATTCCTGGCCTGGATTCACTCACTGGCCCCTGGCTGGTCTCCACATTTCCACCCTTCCTGACTGAGCAGCCAGAATGGTCCTGTCATATCCCAAAGTCAGATCATGTCTCTGCTCTACTCTGAAGCTCCTGAGGCTCCCACCCCACTCAGAGTGAATGCCAGCATCCTCACAGTGGCCTATGCAGCCACGACCTGTCACCCTTCCGCATCACCTCTCCAACCTTGTTTTCTACTCTCCCCCTGCCCATTAGCCCCAGCCATACTGTCCTTCGTGTAATCCCACTACCTCAGGGTCTTTGCACTGGTTACTCCCTCTTCCTGGGACCTCCTTTCCTGGTGTCTTGCCTGAGGGTTTCAGCCTTGGACAAGTTCACTGTGGTTTCAGTGAGACTGAGAAATGACAATGGGACGTTCCTGGGGTAAAAGAGTTTATATCCAGCTTTATTCTCCCTGGGTAGATCAAGCTCTAGAATCACTTCTGCATCTAGCAGCCTGCAGGTCCATAATCCACCTGCGTCCCTGCTTCTGCCCAGAGCACTGGGCAGAGCCCTTTGTATAGCGACTCAGTAATAGTAATAGCTTATTGCCTAGGGTATGGAAGCAGTAGCCTAGCAGTAGGCCAATTACCTCATCAAGTGGTTTAGTGTAGGGTGAGGATCCTGGCCTAGGAACTTCCATTTTCCCCACACCTGGGATAGCCCCATGGTTTGCTTCCACCCACCTACCAGTCTTTGCTCCTAAGTCACCTTCCCAGTGAGGTCTTCTCAAAGCCCTGATTTAAAATCACAGTCTGCTCCTCTTGGTTCCGATGCCCTCCCTGTTTAATTTTTCTAGCTGGCTCTGAACACCTGCATACCCTACATTATACTTATTAATGTTATCCATGTTCTTTTTTTCTCCTCAGTGCCCAGCATCTGGTGGGTGGGTGTTCAACGAGTGGAAAAGTGTCTTAGATGGAAATTTCAAACCCCTTTGTTTTTCCTCTGGGTATTTCTTAAGAGAGGGTGGTCTCTGAGGCATGTTTCTCTTGAGCTCTTCTGGCATTGAATGCTCAGGACAGGGTTCCAAGTTCCAAGTAGGTCACCAACTCCTGCCCATATGGACACCAACATTTTCAAATGTGTGCAGATACTCCTATGATGAATATTGCATGCCCATTTATTTCTTGCAGCTGCCTGGGCCATTATATATTTTCTGTCAACCAATACACTCAATGCCACCATTATTGCATGGAGGCTCTTCTCAAAATAGTTGGGACTCCTTGCCTAGGACCAGAAAAGGGATCTAGTAAACAAGTCTGGAAGACCCTTTGCCATCCTTCATACAGGTTCCTGCTGGGGACATTGCCCATAATTACTCTTAACCCTGGCAGAGTAGCAGCAGCTGACAGTGAGCACAGGTTCACCCACCAGAGTAAGGCAATTCATAGCCCGTGAACCTTGAATTCTGCAAACCCTGCCACTCCACAAGTGGGGGTTTGTTGGAACAGTTTTCAGCTTGGGCAGAATTCAAATAAGCTCTTACAATCAGCACTCAGTTAACTGTTGCATGCCCTGGGCACCATGTGCTGTGCAGTGTAAAGGGAGTTCAGGGAACACGGCCATCTTAGAGCAGAGGTGGGGAAGGGGTGCTCACAGCTGGGCAATCCCAGTTTGTACAAGTGTCTTGCCAATGGGTTTCAGTCCTGGGCAAGTTCGCTATGGATTCAGCGTGACCAAAGAAATTGACAGCAAACGTTCTTGGGGTGAATGGGTTATACCCAAGTTTATTTCCAGGTGGCAGTTCAGTCACAAGAATCCCGTTCACTTGGAGCAAGTCTGCAGGCAGCAAGCAGAGCGAGTCTGCAGGCAGCAAGCCGGTCTCTGCCTCTGGGCCCCTCTGTCTGCACAGCTGTCCTCTGGGCCTCTCTGCACAGTTGTCCCGCAGAGCCATCCTCTGGGCCTCTGTCCTCAATGCTGCCACCACTCCAGCCTCTGCTCTCCTGCAGCCTTGCATCCCTGCCACCATGTTGCGCCCAGAGCAGTGGGCGGAGCTCTTTTTATAGAGTCAACAGCCATGTATTGCCCACAGGTGTGCAGTGAGCTAGTTAACCATGGCCTGGTGACAATCCTGGTCACAGAAACTCTAATTTTATCCACAACAAGAAATCCCAAAAAGGCTTGTGTGGATGTAGTCAACAGATCTTGGTTCAATGTTAATTGTGGCTAGCATTTGTTGAGTACCTACTATGTGCCAGTGATTTTTACAGGCATGATCTCATTACAACAGCCTAATATTCACCCCCTTTTTGTAGATACAGAATTGAGGCTCAGAGAGCTTAAGTGATCTGTTCAAAGCCCATAGCTCCTCAACCCCTGGATTTGCTTGATCCCAAGGTCAGTATCCTTGACTTTGTATTCTGCCCCCAGCCCAATCTTGAAGATTCTGGGTTGGCATTCTCTGTGAGGCATCCCTGCCTGGCAACCAGAACAGCTTTGTGTCTGGCATGGGATCTAGTTGGGTCACGCTGCTCAGAATCTCAGGTGGGGACAGTCTGCGCTGGGAAGCCCGGTTTGTCCTACCCAACATTTGGCATCCTGTGTGGGCCATTTCCTCTTCACCACCCTTCCTGCTGTTCGATGCCTCGAAAGGGAGCCCAGGTGACTGCAGCTTCATCCTGCCAGAAGCGCCCTTCCTGTTGGTTTAACTCCCAGGGGAAGCACAAACCCAGCAGTCTCTACACCTTGCATTCCTCACGGGACACAGCTTCTGACTGGTCCTGCAATTCCAGGCCCTGCATGAGGCAACCCTTCCACAGGCCTGCAGCTCCCTGGCTGGGGGAAGCCCAGCAAACTGCAGCTACGACCGTTTGGGTCTCCTTCCTGGCGCTCCCTCCTGCGGGTGCCTGTTGGTCTACATCCAGAGCCTCTCTGGGTCTTGCGTAGGATGCCCCCTCCCGGCGGATTTTGTTGCCCCACGTCGTCAGTGGAAAGCCTCTTTCTCAGAGAGCGCCTTGTCAGGCAGGCGCCTTGCTTCTCAGGCCCTCGGCTTGGGCGGTCTCTTTCCCCGCAGAGCCGTCCTCTGGGCCTCTGTCCTCAGTGCTGCCACCACTTCTCTCCCGATCTCCCGCCCGCGCCCGGCGTGGGGCGCCCCCTCTCCCGGGGAGGTCGGGCGCCAGAACAGTGTCGCCGGCTGCCTGCAGGTGTCTCCCCACGGAGGGGCGCGCGTCCCTGCGCCGTGGCTGCTGTCAGGCGCCAGCGGCTCCTCGCCGAGGTGCACCCTCGCTCCGGGCTCCGGGCGCGCCGGAGCCGCTCCGCCGCCGCCGCCCGCCCCCCGTGCCTCCTGCGTGCCCCCAGCCCGGGGGGGGCCATGGGCCCGCGCCGCGTCCGCCGCCGCCGATCGCAGGCGCCAGAGCCCCGGGGCGCGGCGAGCAGCGACCGCTGACGCGGGGCGCCGGCTGCCAACTTCGCGCGCGGAGCTCTCCGGCGGCGTGGTCCCGGCGGCGCGGGCGGCATGAAGACGAGCCGCCGCGGCCGAGCGCTCCTGGCTGTGGCCCTGAACCTGCTGGCGCTGCTCTTCGCCACCACCTCCTTCCTCACCACGCACTGGTGCCAGGGCACGCAGAGGGTGCCCAAGCCCGGCTGCAGCCAGGGCGGGCGCGCCAACTGCCCCAACTCGGGAGCCAACGCCACGGCCAACGGCACCGCCGACCCCGCCGCCGCCGCCGCCGCCGCCGCCGCCGGGAACAACCCCCCTGGCGGCGAGCTCTACAGCTGGGAGACGGGCGACGACCGCTTCCTCTTCAGGAATTTCCACACTGGCATCTGGTACTCGTGCGAGGAGGAGCTCGGCGGGCTCGGTGAGTGAGCCGCGGCGCCGGCGGGCTAGGCTCCGGCTCCCCTGGCTGCGCAGCCCCGAGTCCCGAACCCGCGCTCCCTGCTCCGGGCCGGACGAGGGGCCCGCGCTCCGCAGAGCTGGGCCGAACGTTTGGGGCCGGGGCGCGGTGGGCAAGTCCGGGGGGATCGTGTTGGGCGTTAGGGACGCTTCGCCGTTTCACGGTTCGAGGCAGAGCTCCTTCCCCTTTCGAGCGCCAGACACCTTGGGGACATTGCCGCGCCCTGGGGAGGCGCGTCTCCCGGGCCCCCAGTCTAGCTGCGGGTCCTTTTCGAGCCAGAACTCAGCTCCCGGCTCGCCCCCGCCCCCTCTTTCTTTTACGGGTCTGTCGATCACTCCCAGCCACGCCGTCCCGCCTGGGGTGGGGGTGCGGAGACTGTTCTGAGCGGTGCCTCCTATCGCATGTCCACAGAGCCAGGAGCCTGGGATCATTCGCCTGCCCCTTTCCCCAACCTGTATTAAACCGCTCCTGGACGGGGCCTGAGAAGCATCGGAGTGGGGCAGGGGGAGTCGGGTGGGCCCTCAGCAGGGAGCCCTAGGTGTCCTGGCACCCTCCTCTCAGGGAGAGAATGGGGCAGGAGGGAGACTAGCAGTCGGGAAAGCGGGACAGCTCAGAATTGCGGGGGATGAGGTGAGGGGTGACTTTAAAACGCAGATGGAACTGCTTTGCCTCACAAGCCTTTCTGTGGCCCCCGGGAGGCAGGCAGTGAGGCTGCGCAGGGCTCAGAGGACAGCAGCCTGCCTGTGGTTGTGCCAGATGCCAGGGATGCTGGTCCACACCACCGGTTACCTTCGAGACCATGCTGCTCCAAGTCCAGGTGTGGGGATCCTTTGAGTGAATTGACCTCTTTCCCCAAGGTTAAAACTCCATGCACGCATAGCTGTTCAGTGTAGTCATGGTGCATGTGTTTGCTCCAACGCTGGCTGGGAGTGGCCAGCAACTGATATTTGACCTGAATGAGCCACTGGCCTAACTGGTTGGCCTAAGAACAGAGGGAAGAAGGTTTAGTATAAACTCAGGGGGGCTGCCCCCTCTGCCTGGAATCCCCTTCCCCACACCTTCCCTGGCCGACTCTTCCACGGCTCCGGTGGTGCTTCTCCATCTGCCTTGCCAGGCAGCATCCTATGGAGAGAAGACCTTCGGATTCCGCTTTGGTGGCAGGGTTTCCCTGGCTTGTATCTCTTCATCTTTATCTCCCTCATCACACTTGGCACAGTGCGGAGTTTCCTGGGGCTTACCTTCAGTCACTAGCTGCTTGTCCCCCTATCCCCGCAGGTTGTCACTGTGAAGGCAGGGCTTGAGGCGCCTTGGTCACAGCCGCCCCAGCCTCTGGGTAGCGTCCAGTGCATAGCAGGTCTTCAATACCTATTTGCAGGGAAGGTGTTGGATGAGGCCTTGAACAAACCAAGAGGTTTCCTGGCGTGCAGCCTGATCTTTTTTACCTCTGGGGGGTGCCCCACAGAACTTTTCTGTGACCACCTGAGTGATGCTGGCTGTTTGCCAAAGACACTGGGTGTTTGAATAGGGTCCTGCCCTCACCAGCTTCATCCCTCAGACTTGCTTCTGGTGTGCACTCAGGGCTCTTATTTTTATTCTAGATGTAATTTAAATAATTAACCTCAAAAGGCATCTTAGCTAAAATTCCCTGCTTTCCACTCAGCCCAACCCTAACCTTGTCCATGGAGGTCTCATAATGCCTTATCCTAGGGAACATCTGTGCCCTTAGGCATAGAGGTCCCCACACATCACCTCCGCCTCTCACCAAGTTTCTTCTTGGGTAGAAAAGCAGGTGCCCTGTCCCTTCCTTTTCGCACACACTTGAATACAAGGCTGCATCTCTGGAGCAAAGTTCTCCTTGCCTCCATGGAGTGTCCTGGCCCTGGCTGTCCAGTTGAGCTTCTTAATTGCTGTCAGTCTCTCCTGGCCTCTCTCTGAAGGTCAAGGCCCCAACTGTTGCACTTATTTCCTTCTAGCTAGCTCATCTATGTGGCTCATCCAGGGCTTCACATAGGATGTTTGAGTCTGAGCATTTCAAAAAAATTATTAATTGAAAAACATTCAAAAACAATGTCAGCTTATTGAGCCCTTAATGTGCACCAGGCACGTTAGAACTTCTCACCTGCCAGATCTTGCCTGCTGGCCAACACCCTTGAGGCAGTTACTTGTTGGTGCCCACTTCTCAGATGGGGCTTGGAGGCTCAGTGAGGCTTTTGTCCAGGCCTCCCAGCTGTCAAGGGGCCCCAAATTGTCTCCTGGGGCAGGAAGGAATCAGGGTGAAGTGATTAGGGAAGAGACTGGTGCAGGTGGGGTCAGAGGAGGGGGCAACTTGGGGGACTCAGCGTAAGACCCCCACCCCTAGTCCTCCTGTTAGTACAAACATGGATGGTTAGTTTGTTGGGTAAATAAAAGAAACTCAGTTTTCCTTTTTGTCTTGATCACTGTTTCTGGGAGATTGCCCCTCCCAGAAAATCACAATTTTCTTCTGTGGGAGCTTGGAAAATAGTTATCAGCTTGTCAGTGGTGGTGAGAAATTTGGGAGGTCTGAGCCAGCTTGGATGGCTCCCCTGGCTGATCCACAGTGCCCAAATCCTGCCTGTCCAGGGCTGTGGTCCTGAAAGGGTGTCAGGAAGTACCTGGCCTCAAACTTTTGTTGCTATGACAACCTTTCTTCTGGGCTTTGTGACCATTTTTTAATTCATTTTTTACTTGAAGAGGAGAAAACATCCAACTCACCCCCCCAACACAATCCTGCTCTCCACGCTCCTCACTCATCTGGCATCAAGGACGAACTTCCCTCCCTCCCGCTTCAAGAGAGGGAGGGCTTTCTTTCCTGCAGTGCATTTTAGGTTTACCCCAATGAAAATACCAACCACAAAATCCTAACCTCCATGAGAAAAAGCTGCTAAATGTTCCTTCCTTTCAAATGCCTGTTCGGTCATTTCTTTCTGTGCTCAGAAAAACCTCTCTCCACTTTGGGCAGCCACAGGGATATCTAATAAGCCCTTTTCCCACACTAAAAATCTACAGCATTCACAAAGAAAACTGCAGACTTTCCTAAACAGGCACAATTTCACCAGCCCCGGCACAAAGAAACCTTTTCTCCTTCTTCCAGGAAGGAGCATCAACCTCCTTCAACAAACAGAAAGGGAAGCGGGGCCTTGACACAGAATTACCCCAGCCCTTCCTGCAACTTGGCTTTCTCTTCTTGATCAGAGACCCAGGGGGTCCGGTGGGGCAGAGTGAAGGCCTGGAGGAGGAAGGGGCAAGGGCTCTGGGTGGGGACATGGGTGGCAGGTGGGTACTTGTGCTAACTGGGGACACAGGTGATGTTGGACCTCATCCTGTGTGTGGGTGAGCCTGAGGAAACAGGTGACTGGAGAAGAAGGGTGGGGCAGCAGGGTCTAGGAGGTGAGGCTGGCTAGAGGAAAGTGGGACAGGTGGCCAGGAAGAAGCAGGAGACAAGTCCTGGGGGCAGCAGCAGGACATTTGATGTTCTGAAATCAGTCCACTCTCTCGCCTGGAATGGATGGGCAATGCCTATTCCTCTGATGGAGGATAGAAGCTTCTCAAGTTTCTTTTTAGCAGTGTGGTTTGGGCAAGAGCCTCAGTTTGCTGTCCTGCAGAATGGGGACTGGAGCAGCCAGCACCTGTCCCAGGTGCAAGGGTTCAGTGCAATAGTGCAGGGAAAGTGCCGGGCCCTGCTGAGTGCATCTCACCACCTCCATGCTGCTGCCCTGAGCTACCCACTCCCCTGGGTTTGTGCAGTGGCCTCCCTGCTTCTGCATCGCTCCCCTAGTCTGCTCTCTGCCCAGCATCAGAGTAATCTCAGATGTTGGCTCTCCTTTGCGCAGCCCCCTCAGAGGGCCCCCCCTCACTCAGAGTCAAAGTCCACATGGCCTACAGTCCCCGGCTCATGCTGCCTCTCTGAGCTCCTCTCCTTCTCCTCCTGCTACCCTGGTCCTCCGCACCAGGCATACTTGGCCTCTGGGCCTTTGCACTGCTCCTTCCCTCTGCCTGGAATGCTCCTCTCCAGACAGCCACAAGGCTATTTCCGGAAGCTTCTGTAAGTCAGTGTGGAGCTCTTTCTGAGCACCTGATTCAAAATTGATCTCCCCATGTTTCCTGCTTGATGTTCATCCAGCACTTGCCTCCATTGACACTGCCTCCATGTTACTTGTTTGTTTTGTGTATTACCCACCAGCTCCACAAATGTGGGGAATGTGTTTACCTGTGTTCATTGCTCGGCACACTGGCACATAGTAGGTGCTCAGCAAACATTTGTGGGATGAAGGTCAGTGGTATGACTGCTGTTCTTCCCCAGGCTCTAAGTGTCTTCTCACACTGAGGGGAGGCAGGAGGCCAACCTAGGACCCTGCCCTTTCCACTGAGGCCCCCTTTACAGACCAAATGAGTGTGGGGCAGGGCTGTCCTATGCAGGAGGAGAAAGCTCCCAGCTGCCCCCACTCCTTTCTTGCTTCCTCTTCTTTCCCACAGAAACCCCAGCTCTTCTGCCTGCTCCCTTGATTATGCTGTTATATTTTCATGAGTATGAAGATGCATGTGATGTCCCCAGCCAGGAAGCTCCTGAGCCTGGGGACTTTTGCTGTAATATTAGATAGACTGTTGTAGGAGCGTCTGATAGGTGGGCATTCAGACTTTGAAAGGTGTGACTCTGAGCCCTCAAGTGTTACTTCTTGCATTACCCTAACAGCCCTGTGAAGGAGGTGCCATGCTATGCCTGTTTTCCAGATGAAGAAGTTGAGACACAGAGCAGGGAAGTGACTTGCCCAAGGTCATTCAGTTACCACGTGGCAGATCAGGACTGTGCACCCAGGCAGAAGGCTCCAGAGCCTGGCTCTTGCCTGCTGTGCTGTGCTGCACCCCCACCAACCCAATTCATTCAGGCTCCCTGGACAGCACCAACAATCATGAGCCTGGGATTTGAATCCAGACTCTAACACCAA